GTTGCCTGCATATTCCAATGAGCTTCTTGGTGAATATCAAAGTGGTTTTAGATATAGTAGATCAATAACAGACCAGATTTTTGTGTTGAGGCAGATACTGGAGAAAACCAACGAATTTACTATCGATACTTATCACCCCTTCATAGATTTTAAATCAACCTTTGATATGAAGTAAATTATATGAAGCCATTGACAAATTCTAAATTCTCAAAAAAATAATAAAACTGATAAGGGCTCAAATGAGTAAAGGTATTTGCTAAGTAGAAATACAGAATGAACAATCACAAGTTGGAACGCATGTCGAACTGTGACAGGAAGATGCGCTAGCGTGCCTCCTTTTCAACATAATCTTAAAAAAGGCGGTTAAAGACCTAATTGCTCCTACAACAAGCAAGCTATAAGAAATTTCTTTCTCCAAGACCATTTTCTCAAATGCCTAAAAAATATGGACCTACAAAGGAATAGAGTAAAATCCAAAATGATGGCATTAACCCATAATGGAAGAAATTAAGCAGAGAAAAATGCTGACAAACTAGTGCTATTTTGGGCTGCGTAAACATGTTACAACTAGAAACTTAAGCCAGAAAACAAAAATAACACTAAACAAAAACCTTTATACAACCCGTGCTGACATATGAAACAGAAACCTGGACCATCTCCAAGACAGATAAAAACCTCTTGCTCATTTTGAACGGATTATTTTAAGAGGAACATTCATGACTCTGTGTGAAAACGTTATTTAAAGAAGGAGGTACAACTATGAGATATACTACAAATGCAAAAAGATATCCGGTGGTAAAGACGTGTTATCACTCAGAAAAATAGGACTAAGATGGGAAGGACAGCTAGTAAGATCGTAGCAGAACAACACTCCTAGATGAATCCTCATGTCATAGCTGGTGGCAAGTAGATGGCAAGGTAGGCCAAAAGAATGGTGTAAATGAAGATGCTAGAAAATAAGTGCAGCAAACTGGCAACAGTTAGCAATAAATAAGGCTGACTTTCTAAATTAATTTGGGATGCTCCAGACTCTACTATATGGATGTAGCTCCAATGATGATGATGATGATTATGATGATGATCTGTGGTTCTTTTTCATAACTTCTCTTCTTTGTATTACTATCTGGGTCGTTGTTAGAGGACAGTATTTCGCAATATTGTTTCAACATCGCTCCGATATATATTTGAATTTGATACGGTATTTTCACTATTATCTTGTCTGCCTTTTGAATCGTATTTGTAGAGCAATAAAAGAAACACCGCAGGATACAAAATCACTAATACGAAAACAACAAAAACATTGAACAGAAATATTTCTACTTCGCAATAGCACTGACCATGGCACTGACAATAATAACATATTTTCATCAGACGACATGATGTGTCTAACTGATGTGCGAGGCATTATTTTTGTTTACTAGATTCATATGCGATGTGCGTTAAAAACATGTCGTTAACAAAACAGTTGAAAACATCTCATAACAAATATGCGACCAGCCTTATGTGCTAATTGGTTGAATGTAAAAAGGCGGTTCTTTACTAATACTACCTATAAATCGATGATTCGTTACTATTATCAGTAGGTACTGCCGAAAACTGTGATTCAGCACCAATAATTGTAAAATTAGTTTGTAGGATGTTTAATTACATTCCTAGTTTTTTGTATTTTATACACAAAATGACAGTAAAAAAGGTTTGTTGTTTGAATATAGAATAGAATCTAGTAAATTAAAAATACTGCTTAATTTAAAAATTATTATTACAAAGAAGTTAAAAATCTTTTTATCTATCTATTTTTGAACATAAACCACTCGTTGAATCTTGCCGTGTGCATGTGGTCTTTGAGCTTCTTTCAGCATATTTTAACCCTTAACTGGCATCGTGATTTATTCTGCCGTTAACTGCGTCCTGGGGTCTACGGGACCCACTGTTTTGAGTTTTTTTATGAAATTAATTAAAATCACTTGATTTTTTCGTTTCATATAAAGAACAAGGAACTAAAATATACAAAATCTCTAACTAAAATATATTATTAACAAAACGGCGAACTATTTACAAAGTAACATTTTTCTAAATGCAATTCTTGCACAAATATTTTGCTGCATGACATTTTGTTTTTTTGTCATTCTTTCGATCACAGATACTACATCTCTTTTGTTTCTGGTTCTGATTATTTAATTCTTCCTTCTCTGCTTCAGGTAAAGCTTTCTTTAAATTCTACTGATACCCATGCGAAGCTCCCTAGGTGATTGTACAGTCTTATATGGAGATATGGTTCTGCAAGTTGTCTTGCAATAATTTTGTAAAGGCTTTTCTCTCTATCGCTTGGTTGTTTTTATAACATCCATGTAAAATGTGTGCACTAACACCTGCAATATTCAATATTGTAAAGAAAATAGTAATATATTTACCATCGCCTAGTTCTCCGTTAGTAGAATATGTTGTACATTTTTGATCTAGTGCATCCATACCGCCTTTTGTTTTATTATAGAAGCAAATGATTTCGGGTTTACTAGATTCTATGTCCTCACATTCGGTATGGTGCATTGATGATATTAACACCACTTCCTCCCCTTTTTTTTGAAACTAGGAAATTATAGTGTAGTCATTTGTAAAACCATAAATGGAAGATCCTTTAGCTCTGCTCTCACTTGGAAGGAACTGTGTAGATATTTCCTTTTTGTTTCACTTAAGCGTGTTAATATAGCTCAGTCCTTGTGTTTATAATGCATCCATGACTTCTATGGATGAAAACCAATTGTCTGCTGTGACATTTCGGTGTAAATTAGCAATTCGATGACACAGTCTCAATACCGCTTCTGTTGGTTTTATGAAACATATCTCCTCATGTGTTATCACTATTCCACAGAAAAAAAACCATCACTATTCTTACTACAGTAAATATAGTCATTATAGAATTAGTGGGTACATGCGTCTGCTACGGCCAGAATTTTCAGTCCACATTTCCGAGATTTATATGTACATGCGGAACCTACATCTAGCGCTAAATCCTAGCAGCATTTCGTCGATACAACACAATTCTTCCATAGAATAAGTCTTGGCAATTTTTTACAAAACGCTCAAATCACCAAGACATTCCTGCAGTTCGATCATTAGTTTTACGTTCTTTTCGATCGTAATAGTTTTACGTAAAATATTTACACTAACTTTTCAGTCAACAAACCTTAGACATGCTAGCAACACATATACTCTTTTCAAGGACATAATGGATCTGAATATGTTTCGTCCCGTTTCATCTGTTACAAATATTTCTTCCAAGTATTTATCATTTGACTTGAAAACTGCAGAGTAATACTAGATAGCGAGAAACGCTCTAAATTCTTCCTTTGTTAGTTCCCTCAGTTCTATTCTATCACGATTATAAAATTTATCTTGAAATAACAATATCTTTTCATTTGTCCGTGGAATTATTTAGTTTTCCATATGCTCTGTGAAAAGAAGACTAAATATTTTTAATGGATCAGAGACATCATCACATTTTGCAGGTCCTTTCAATCCGGGAAGAACTTCAAAAAGATTGTGTTTTTTTGTTCTAATATTCAAAACTTGATTGGCCGAAACAGCAGACCACTTGTATCGACTTTTACCAAAATAAAACTTTCTATTTGTTGTTTCTGGCCTCTCATTTTCTTCATCTATACCCTGACTATCTTGTGTTTTAGCATTGTCCTTCTGATCTTCCATCTCAGAATCAGAGTTATGGTCAGTCTCTGGAGAAAAATCTTTGTCGTTGTAGTCCTCATAATCACTAAACTCGCTTTCTAATTCATCATACCGCCGCTACACTTTCATCAAAATACGGCTCTCCTAAAAACACTCTTTTGGAAGAACTTGCCATTTCAGAAACAAAACACTATTAGCGTCGTGGTACCACACAGACCCCAAATGAATTTTACCGCTGGCTATTTTGAGCAATACTGAATCATAGTTGACGTGCGTATCGGAGTGGCTTACGAGTGCACCAACTTAAAGGTAGATGGCTGGTCCAGACATAAATGCTAAATTTGCAAATTTTACATGGATTTAAAAGCACTGGGGTCCGCCTGACCCCACAATACTAGTTGAGGGTGAAGAAAGTATATAAGTATCTCGAAAGACTATATGGTAAATAATGAGAATTCTGAATGATATAAAAAATGGTGAATGATCTGTACGATGTCGCAGGGCTGTCTTTTATTTATTATCATTAATGAGATCTGGAACAAATAAGAGAAAAATTTTAGGGCAGCTTCCCTTGGTGTCAAAAATATGCTGATGATATCGGTTTATAATTATTTACCTCTACCGACATGTTCTGGCTGAGTGTATTCTTCGTCGTGCTTCATCTAGGATAGTTGATAATATTCAGTTGTTGATAATATTCAAATCTTTTTAAATAATGTCACCCATTTTGGCAGTGATTAGGGCCACCCCTGGACTAACTCTAATATACTTATTCCTAATTTTATTCTTTTTTGTAATTCGACTTATTCATCCAAAGTTATCATTTTATTTGTAGTAATAACTCCATTTTTAAATAAACATTACAAATTCTCTGTTTTTGTCTTATCAAATTCTAAACCTTTTAAAACTACCACCAGCTCTTTTTATTCTCAAACTTCTTCTCTGAGGTATTCCCCAAGTATTTCAATGGCAGTAGATTTAATAAATACTGGACATAACTGCTAGAATATCTTCTTTCTTATTTTTTAACATTCTCCATTTGCTTTTTTTGTGGTCCTCTTTAATATTTTGGATTTGTTTCTCTTTTTCCTTCGATTTTTAGCACAAGCAACTTGTGTGGTTGGCTCACAGTCTCATTACCTATTATCTTGTAAGCCTTTGGATATTCCCGTACCTATATATTTCATTAACAATTGCCATATATAAAGCTATTGCTAATTCCAGCATATTGGACGCGTAGATATTTTCAACGTTACAGTCGTTTAGAAAATCCACAAGCCTAAGAAAAGCCTAATTTAGGATTGATAACAAAAACATAAAATAAATATTTTATATTACAAATATTAAAATATCTTCACTTAATCTTATTTTACATATTTATCTTAAAATGATGTATGTATAAAACTTACATTTGATATTATATATGACACAATAAGTTATTCTAACAAACTACAAACAATTTTATTTATTATTTATAATTTTAAATCTGATTTGAGTCGATCCCTTCCTCATAACATGCACATTCGTTATGTGGACAGTTCCTAGCGGGATATACAATGCATTTGTCCATGCAATATACGTCTGCACCCAAGTTGCCTCTATAAGCGCCTACTGCCTCACAGGTGTTACTGAAATTAAACAATTATTAATATGCTTACGATTTTTTCAACAATTATTAACAGATCACATTAAAAATCGTGTTGTGCCGTCTTCTAACGAAGATTGGCGATCATTTCTTTAAACTCTTCCCTATCTTTTGCATCGTGAAACATCTGTTCAACAAAGGTTAGTCCAATTTCTGATATTCCTCAGCCAAGATTTCTTATTTCTTCCCAAGCGTTTTCTTCCCTTTACTTTTCCTCGAATAATGACGCGCAGAAGAGAGTCTGACAATAATAGTCTCCTTTATATCTCTAGTGCGGCTTTGGGATTATAGCAGGGTAGTTTGCCAGATCGTGGGCATTCAGTAAACAAGAAAGATAATAAGGCCAGTGCTCCCTTTCAACCACCTATTATTCAACCCCTGGTTTTACACAAGGTACTGGTTTTATTCAGACTGAGTCGCCCTAGGGCCTGTAGATATTTAAAAATATCTAGATGTTCTCGTCGGAATTTGCTGGTATTCGATCCCTGACCATCCAGCTGGAAGTCAGATACTCTACCACCTGAGCTATCTGGCCTGTAGATATTGAAATATCTACAAGAAGAAAATATACATGATGAATGGATTTTATTCACATGAATTATTTTATTTTTACCTAATTTCAAACATACTTACGGACATGAGCAAATTTCTTGTGGACAATTTGGAGGATACCTCAAGCAATTCTCTTGACACCATTCCCACATACCGGAGATCATCCTGTACAGACTGTTCGGAACACAAACCTGCTCTCTAACTACCAACGGTATCACATTGTACGGAGCTGGTTTAGAATAATCTTTGTAATATAGTTGATACGGGTTTAAGTTTTCAACAAATACGGGAGGAATAGCTCCACCGGCGCTGGAATGGATAGCTACGTCTGCGCAGTTGCGAAAGGTTTCCGATTTTCCACACCCTTGGGCTTGGGTGCCGTTCGTGCATTCGCCCCATTGGTTTCCTGTGTAGTAGGTCCATTGAAGCACGCATTGTGTGCAGGTTATGTATGGTGGAAGTCGAACTTGGTATCTATAAAGAAATTAACATTAAAATTTAAGATCTACATATTTATTGTAGATTTGATAGAAATGAAAGTAGGAACAAAAGCAAACATTATTTGGTGGTTTGATAAGTAACCTCTTTCACCGGAGTACTTCAATTTCAAAAAAACATTAGTTCTAGAAAGTAAAACCTTTTAAGCCATACAAGTCAAATTTTAGAGCGATGCTGCTATTTTTGACAGCTGCTGGCTAAAATCGAATGCCCTTATGTCCTCCCTTAAGGATATAAAATCATTTCTGAAGTTGTAAAGTAAATGTTTTATTGGTATCTAATAAATAGACTTGGCACATTTAGAGATGAAAAATATCAAATTATCGGTCGATGACGGAGTAGTGATCGAAGCGATCAAACTAGGTGGAAATAAAATTATTCAGGTTTTGGCCAAGCTGTTCACCGAATGCATCCACCAAGGAAAAAACTCCTTATCAATAGAACAATACAGACATTATTTTATTACACAAATAAGAAGACATTACTTTTATCAGCCTAAAATCAAACTGGATTTAGATTGAGATACAGCACTAATGACCACTTACTAATGATAAAGAACCTGCAGAGAAGTCTGCAGAATACAACAAACCAATGGCACTAATATTTGTCGACTACGAAAAGCATTCGATACCATAAGCCATAAGAAACTGTTAAAAGCATTGACAGAATGCCGAATAGACCATAGTTACACTATCATAATCAAATATATCAATGTGTGTTACCTGTACTAACTTATGAAGAGGAAACATTAATGAGATTCACTACCTTTAATAAACTGTATGAAAACTTCTGTGAAGACGGAAAGCAGGAAATTGTAGATAAATTACTGCACAGCAGTGATACCGCTGGCGTGAAAAATGGACTGCGGCAGTTGAAAAGTTTAGATTTCAAAAACTTAAGTAGAGAAGCCTGATCAATGCTTTGAAAACTAGGAGGCAGTAATCCAACCGACCGCCAAAGCAATCTAGTAACACAGTATTTTTTCTTCGAGATTAATAATATTCAGTACACTTCAAACCATACTTATGCAACCACATGACTTTGAACATCCTTTTAACACCTACAATTATTTTTTTTAAGAGACTACTAAGCAAGAGCATATCGGTAGTTTGTATTGGCTAAAAACCTGTTTTACCGTTTTCCAGTCCAAGAATTTCAATTATTATAAAAAATATCACTGACTGACCTCTCAAGTATTGTATGCGGCACTCAAGAAAATTCAGATTAAATTTATGGACAGCCACAATCAAAACTGAAATAAGAGCCTTTCTAGGGGTAATAATCGCAATGGGTCTCACGCAGCTCATGGGTTTCGCGCAGCTCACCCGCAAGCTCTCGCTTGTCGGATTATACCACATTTAAATTTATATTAGTCTAAAGATGGTATATTTTATAATAAATTTATCGCAAAAGTTTTAACTCGAGACTTTTTATTAAAATTTCTTCATTTTGAAAATAATGAGACAGTTGATATCACTAATAGATTATGCAAAATAATAAATTTAATTACGATGTTAATTCAAAATTTTCAAAGAATAATGGAGCCTGGCAATATTCTCGTTATAGATGAATCTATGGTGTCTTTTAGAGGAAGACTCCATTTCCGTCAGTACCTCCCCAACAAGATCATAAACATAGAGTAAAACTATACAAACTCTATTATCCTGAAGGCTATAATGTTAATAACTGTAATGTAATAACTTTTATTCAGGAATACCTCTCATTAAAAGATTGTTAACAGAAAATATGACGTAATGTGGGACTCTAAGAGGAAACAGAAAATGAATACCACCTATTTTTCACCAGTCCAAGAAGATAAAGCGAAAAGAGGTCAATGGAATAAAAATATTGACTAAGAATTATTAAGTGGATGGATAAGAGACCTGTGTTAATGATTTCAAGTGTTCCAGTCCCTACTAAACAGTTGATTCCAACAGGAAAACAGAATAGGCAAAAAGAGAATATAGTGAAACCGAAATGTATAATTGATTACAATTTTGCAAAGAAAGGCGTAGACTATTATGATATTGTAAATACAATTACAATAGTAAAACCTGAAGTTCTCCATTCAGCAATACAGGATAGTTTGAACCATGTTCTTCCAACCTATAATTAATAGAGTAATGGCATGTAAGTAATGCTTTATTTATTTACTAATTTATTACAATTCAATAGACTATTTTTATACCAATTTGTGGGTCTTACCTTGTCTGCTTAAACAGTTTATTCATATTGAAAAACCACAGACATCTAATATTGGCATAATTACTGTAATTTATATAATTTATCTTTGTTTATCTTTATAAGACAACACCCTAATATAGGTTTTATTATTTCAGCATTTAATTAACTTTGTATCGAGACCTGATGATGCTTTGCATATTGTAGAAAGCGAAACCGGTTGTCTAGATAGTAAAATTAAACTGATTGTAAGTAAGTCTTATTTATTATTTCTTTTACCTATTTGAAATGGACTCACACAAGCAGCACATTCACGATTTATTGCTTTTTCTTTGAAAATCAGAATGCCACCTCTCACATTCATCTCAAAACATATCCGCCCTGATCTACTTAGTTTTTGTTCTTCCTCGTTTTCAACCAAACGGTTGCCCAAACAGTTGCGCATTTGTTAAAAACACTTCGTTCTACTATGCATTCAGAGTGACATTTTAGATGGAAACTATTCTTTTCTAAATGAACCTTTTCCGAAAGTTTTTATTATCTGGGAACAGATTATTGGTTGACTTATTGTTATATATTATATTTAAATCATATTTATAAGTTACAAATTTATATAAAAAGCAAGTTTACACATACACAATTAGAAAAAATTACCTAAATACGGCTTTTTTCTTTCCACCTTCTGGAATCTCATATTTTGTCTCTCGAGTATCCGTTAAATATAGAGGAAATCTATCAAAGCACTCCTGCGTTGCTTCCTGACCAGGATTGTTATTTGGACACAACAAGACCTCGAAGCGTCCATAATGGTTAGCCGTCAGTTCCACTTCTATATCTATATATTGTCCAACACTGTAATGCCTACTGATGATGCCTTTGGCGTAAGTACCTTTTGCTTCGTGGGGCCTTGGTTCTTCAGCGTGGTAAGCATCTCCGCAAAGGCCGCATTTGCCCTCGTTTTGCTCCCATTGAACTTAAAAATAAAATTATAACAGAAAGTATGCTAGAAAGACAAGAAATTCAAAAATTAATTTTGATTTTATTTAACGATCCATTTTTTAAATTTTAATTTATGTGTACTTTTACCAATGGATGAAGTCCACAGTTACAAAAACCTTTAAAAATTTAAGGTAACATTTTATTATCAAAATTCTACTAATACATAAATTTCAATAAAAAAACTTCAATTAAAAATCTTTATGTAAAAAATATACTCGACTTACCTGTAAACCCACCGCAGAATAGTTCATTGTCATTATAATTAACTGGATTGGGAAAGCCGAACCTCCACATTGAGTTTCTCGCTGGGGGCTCCATAAGTCTGCCATGACTCATCACTAATTTGACCAAGTTCAAAGTGAGCCATATTAGCGACAAAATACTAAACATTTTATCCATTTAGTTTGGTTTGGGCCCTGAAAATAAATACCATAATGTTATAGCTCGTATTAAAAAGTAAAAAGAATTAATTTCAGCAACCAAACTATAAAATAGATGGCGAATAAATCTTGTATATCGCAAACTGTATGAACCTTGGCGAACGAGATATGATTATTGTCAAATATCTACTACAATCTGCGAGTAGCATTGGAGTGAAATGTCCGAAAAAGTAAAAATAGGTAATGAAGAATGAATGAATTTTATTTAACGCTTACTTAAAAAGCAAGTAAGTTTCTGGATACAGTGGAAAACACTTATAGTAAGACAACTGTCTTTCAACATAAAAAATCAAATTTATTTAATCATGAAATATTACGTATATAGGTTTTAAAACACTCCAGCTATTCACAAGATTTTGAATAGACAGCAAGATCTCCCGATTTAACTCCCCTGGACTTTTTTCTATGGAGTTATTTAAAAGCAAGATTTATAATATCATTCCTGATTTATTGGAAGAACTAAGATGACAATAGTGCATGAAAATAGTCTAGCAACCCCTGAAATACTTCAAAATGTTCGTCGTAATTTCGAACAGCATCTTTATAATTATTATATTACATTTCATTAAATAATAATTATAGCTGATCAGGAAGCTGGTGAACTAAATTTAGTTCATTTTATTTATATGTGATAATAATATATTCTCATTTAAAGTTTGCACAAAGATCAGTCACACCTTAAAGATCACATCTTGTCAATTTGGAGTACTGTGAAATGTCAAGGTTGTACCACTTCAAATCTTGTTTTTATTACAAATATAACGTCCACTTGTGCACGTTGACACATGCAAAATTTGCTCTTACTGTTTAATCTTCTGAAATATATACAATGTGTAAACAATAATATTAAAAGGCGTGAAAAATACTTTATTGACATTCTTCCTTTGATTTCGTCGATTTTAAAACTAATAACTGAGAAAGACGGTTGTACACGCTTTTGTGTAGACTATAGAAGATTAATCCAGGTTATATCAGGTTGTTAATGATAGATAAATTATAGATTTAAAAAGCAGCTACTGGCATGTAGAAGTACCTCCTGATGATCGAGAAAAAACAGATGTTTCAACTGGCCGTGGTCTCTACCGGACTTTTTGGGAGGTGTGACCTATATAAGAACCTTCACAGCGTAAACAATTAAGTTTGTAGACAACATCACTTTTATCTAAATGTAAAAATTTTATCTACGGAGAGTAATTACTTAAAAAGATTATTTCTCGAGATGGCTTTCATTTTTCAAGAAAAAGAAACCATTAACAAAAAAGACAGATACCAATAATTTAAGCAACTTATATTCATTATTGTTAACTTTAGACAAACATAAATCTACTAATACAAACCCTTAATCGTCAACAATATAAGTTTGATTATATATGAGATATACAATATTTCTCCTACTTCTAAAATAAGTCTTTTTGTCTTTTCTTTTTCAATAAGTTCAGCTTATATCAGGTATACTATTACCTTTACATCGTAATCACTTAAGATCTAACGTTCTGTCGTTTTAAGTTGGTAGCAATGAATTTACAACCAATTCTCTTGTTTCTGATTACAATATTTATAAATAAAAAAATTTAATATTGTGACTACGACATGTTTTGCAATTATTTTAACATAATTTTATTTAAATGTTTATGTATATGTGTTTTAAATGTGTTTTAAATATGTATGTTAAAGAACGTTTTTTTAAATCAATTTTTGGATAGTTTTCGCTATCGTTTGTAGGGGTCAAATGAGTTGCCAATTTCATTCGATAAACATCAAGATAACTAACCTCAATTAGTGTAGGATACAAAGTAATTCTTACTCTGTAATTTGTACTAATTATGTTTACTGTAGCACCCTGATGATGCAAATAAAGATTTGCGATAGTTTGGTAAACTAAAAAGAGTACTTCTTTGTCCTATCTTCCACTGCACACCCAAATATTGGAGTATTGTATTCTATTTGATCAGCGTTGATTACAAGCATTTATCGCTCTTTCAGGATATACATATATATATATATATATATATATATATATATATATATATATATATATATATATATATACATTTATGTAGATTTTTTGCTAGTGAGTGCTATATCATGTTGTTTTAATAATACTAACATTTATTCCATCTCAATATACTTATTCGGATCAAAAAATTAGCAATAATTAAGTTGCACTCTTATATGTGTATGTTCAGCTACATTAAATCAATATGTTGACCTTTTTGCGAAGGTAAGCAACGCTTAATATTCAATATGTATCGCCAATTGTTGAATTTTGAAATTTAAGGTAATTACATTCAACCGCACTCGTTCGTTACAAGAAATATGTCACTTTTACTAATATGTAAACAATTATATAATTTTAATAACAATTATATCACTTTAATTCTAAAAACGACTAGCAGACAGAATAAAAATGAAAACAAAAAATGCTAATAAAAAAGCTGAATATTATTTTTTAAATTAAATAACATTTGGATATAGCATTTTTAATATATTCTATATATTTGTGCTAATAACAACCAGTATGTGTAAAAAAGGCAAAGCTTAATAGCCATTTTGATGATGGAGAAGTAAGAACTGAATTTAGAAACTTTTGGTGCTCTTATTTCAAAAATGTCTTTTCTCGTAGAGACTCTTATTTTTAAAATAGCTATAGAAATTAGCTAATATTGGCCCTTTATAGATTCAAATGGATTCAGACTAGGTTTGGATATTAATCTTTCCAAAACCAAAATCATGGTATTCCACAAGAACCCCCATGAACAAAATTCACCCAACATACAAATCAATGGTATCACCCTTCAGAACTCCCAAAGCTTCATATACCTGGGCAGAGAGCTAAACAGTCAGCTAGACCACTCAAAAGAAATTAGAAGACGTATTGAAATAGCAAGATCTGGCTTCATGAACATGCGTAAAATGCTCTGTAACCCCAAGCTATCAATCACAATAAGGTTAAGAACACTAAAGTGTTATGTGTGGTCTCTACTACTATATGGCTGTGAGACCTGGACATTAAAACAGTATGACGTCAACAAACTGAATTCATTCGAAATGTGAAATGTGAAATTAGAAGACGTATTGAAATAGCAAGATCTGGCTTCATGAACATGCGTAAAATTCTCTGTAACCCCAAGCTATCAATCACAATAAGGTTAAGAACACTAAAGTGTTATGTGTGGTCTCTACTACTATATGGCTGTGAGACCTGGACATTAAAACAGTATGACGTCAACAAACTGAATTCATTCGAAATGTGGATGTACCGCCGAATGCTAAGAATAAGCTGGACCAGCAAAACTACAAATAAAGAGGTACTGGAAATAATGAACACACGACCTCATCTGGTTAATATAATAAAATTAGAAAGACGTCATATCTAGGACACATAATGCGCCATAAAGAATTTGAGCAGCTCCAGGTAATATTAGAAGGCAAAATTGAGGGTAAAAGGGGTATAGGAAGAAAGAAGAAATCCTGGCTCCGAAACATCAGAGATTGAACTCACACAACAGGAAATGACTTAATCCATCAAGCCCAGAACAGAGAGAAATTTGCCATATTGATCGCCAACCTCAATAGAGAAGGCACTTAGGAGGAGGATAGATTCAAATAGTAATTTATAAATAGTTATTGAGCAGTACTTAATAACCTAATCTAACGTAACCACAGTCATATAATACAAATGGACTGATTGCTGCAATATAGTCGCGTTCCCCTAGTGCAACAGAGAAAACGGACGCAAAGCAGTCCCTGCATCCTCTCTCTCTCTCTTCTTCTAATATTCTTAACAATTTTTCTCCATTTGTCTCTATTTCAGCTGTTCCGAGAGCTTCGCAGAATGAATTTCCCGCTGAATTCTTAATTTGGTCAGCCCATCTAGTTGGTGATCGTGCTCTTGATCTTCTCCCCAGAACGTTTCCAGAAACAATTGATCTCTATAAACTATCGTCACCTCTGCGAACCACGTGACCAAAAAATTGCACAATACTTTGCAGACATATTGTGGATTGTCTTCTTTTAATCTTGAGTTGGTTTAGAATGGAAACGTTTGTCCTATCAGCTGTCCAAGGTATGCGCAGCATCCTTCTCAGCAGTCTCATATTGATATTTTGTGGGATAGATCTGTCTTTCTGAACTTTAGTTAGACGACTTGTTTTGGCATTTTGTCACAGTTTTCACATTTGCTAGTAGTTCCATTTTTGTGCAACTGGATATAAATTGATTTACTCCAATCAGATGGCCATTTTCCTGAATTACAAGCAACAACACAAATAGAATGGATCATATGTAATCCTTTGCTACTAGTAACTGTAGTATTACACCTGATATTGAATCAATTCCTAGGGATTTATTTCTCTTTAACGATTTAATTTGCATCTTTGACTTCAGCGAGTAAGACAGTAGGTTCTCTAGGATAGTCAGAAGACCATTAATTTTCTGCTTGTACCTCGTTATTATTATATAGCTCGCCACAGTAGTTTCGCTATGTTTCCAATATTTCGTTAGTATCGGTCTTTAAATTACCTTTCTTATCTCTTACAGATCACGTTTGAGATTTAAATTCTCTGGTAAGGAGTTTGACTTCTGAAATAAATCCCTTGTTTAATTTCGACAGCCATATTTCTCTATCACTCTGCATATTTGGGAGATGTAATCAGCTTTGTCTTTGCGGCACTGTTTTCTGATTACTTTCGATAACGCTCTGTATTTATCGTTTGTTTCGTATCTACTTTTATGTTATTTTTTGAGTTGAATTACAGTCCACGTATTATTGGTTACCACGACTTACGGCTCGTGGAAACCGCTGCCTCACAGACTTTTACATCCAAGTGCTCTCAGGGTCACTATCTACTTAGTCTAAAGAAAGAGCTTCTTCTAGGTTTTGTTGAAAGTAATTAATTTTTGATGGATTACGACTCATGACTTTTCTTATGGAGCTTCTTTTGGGAACTTTAAAATGAAGTCGTATGTTCAATACC